CCGGCCGCTGGCGGAGGGGCGCCGAGAAGGCAGGTACGGAAGCCGGCTAGAGAGCGGCCTGCGAGGACCGCCCGAGAGGCAGGGGATAGCTGTCATAGGAGCCGGCCCACGGGTCGGGCCGCGGAATGGCCCGGGGCACGTCTGAAGGGGGAGGGCCTGGAGTTGGGGCTCTGGAGGGCGCCGAGCAGAGTAGAGGTAACCCCGGGGGTTCACTCTCGACCCCCGTGGGAACGACGGCGCGGGGGCCTGCGCTCGGGTCTCATTACATCTGGAGAGGGGAATCGGGAATCGGGGCTTCCAGAAAGCTGACGCCAGGCCTCACCCTCCGCTTCCTCTATTCCGCCACGTCCGCAGACTCCTGGTGCCGCCCCCTTCCTCGGTAGGCAGATGGTCCCAAACTTCATTCATATGTGGCCGTCCTGGTTTACGCGGCGTCCGTGTGCCATCTGTTTCTTTTCATTACCATAGGTCTCACCCTGGAGGATTCGGTGGTTCTCCGTGCATTCTCAAAGCTGCGCAGCCATCGCCACTGTCTTAATTTCAGAACTTTTCCGACTCCAGAAAGAAACCCATACCCGTAGCAGCCACTCTTCCAGGGTCCAAGCGCCACAGCTTCCTGGCAGCCTCTAGCTTCCTGTCTAAGCTTCCTGTCTCCGTGCTCTGCCTCCTGTTTTAGTGTTTGTGTAATAAGCGAGTCTCGATTTTTTTGGTGCTAGTTTAAACATTGATTTCTGTGAAATCATGGCTTTGCTATGCATTGTTCTCCACTGTGCTTTATATACAGTAGATATGTGACAGTTAAAATTATGAATGTTTATCCTGTACCACATGAAATCCTTTTTTGCCCCTGGGAGGACCAAGGTAGCCTTCCCATTTTTCCTGTCCTCTGATGGATGGTGCCGGTTATAGAACCAGCCGCATTATTCAACCCACATATTTTGATGAAGCTTCTGGCAGCCACATCTTCCTTCTCTGGGCTCATTTTCTGTTACCCCTTTTCCTCTTGTTCTGATACTAGGCTGGGCCCTTTGGCATTGTAACCCTGTGCTGGGGTTTGTGTGACATCCGTCCTCAGGGCATAATAGTCCCAAGAATCTTGTGACTTGTTGCAGTGCACCTGTGTCTAAGTTGCAAGACTCTAACCCCACTAGTTCCCTTGAGTTCCCAGCTCTGGGTGAGTGGGAGAAATTTAGAGATGAGATGTTTGGGTTTGTTTTTAATTCTATCGAGAATTGTTGACAATGTTGCTGATATGAAAAGCCCTCCTTCTTCTGGTCGGATTGGTTTATTCTGTATACTGTTTTTCTTCACTTTGGGCATGAAGGTGTTTTGTTTTGTTTTCTACCTGCTTAGCATTCAGTTTTAGGTAATTAACGGAATCTCTGCTCACTCGGGTACTGTTTTATAGAAACTAATTAGGACCTCCAAAAAGAGAGCCTGTATTATTTCATTTTGTTTTTCATTGGAATCTTACCCATAATAGAGTTTTCCTCACCCACTGTCTTTTCTCTGGTATGCATGTGAAACTCAAGCACAAAATTTTAAGTTAATTACCAATGTGAATATCAGGAGTTCAAGGATAACCTATAGGGATGTCCCTCTGTCTCTAACTGGCTGTTCCATTGTGTCGATGAAGGCCACGAGCATTGCTTAATGTGAATTCAACTGTTTAAAGACTGTAAAATTTTCTTGATATGCAGGCTTAAGCCAAATAATCAGTATGGAATTGGTTACGCTCACATAATTTGCCATTATATAAGTGTGTAGATAACCTGATCCAAGTTACTGGTATTTATTTTGATGATATGGAAAAACTTTCAGAGGAAATATAGCTAGTGGTCATATTTAGTCACTGTCCTTTCCCTTTGTAACAAGTTTCCCAAACCAGGTACTTTTAGAGAAACCTGGTACTCTGAAGAAGCAGGAATTTTTACCTAGGTTCTGAAACCAGAGTTGGGAGAGATTTAAGACAATAATGGACTCAGCCATCTTTATCTGAACCATTAAGAACTATTGCTTCAGTGTCCCTTATTTAAATAAGAATTTTATTTTATTTTTTAAAGAATTATTTATTTATTTAATTTTGGGACCAGCAGTTAGGATAATGGCTATGTCGCTGGACTCCCACATAGTTGACCGCAGTTCGTGTCCTGGACCGAGTGCCTTAAAACTCACACCAGGCGGGTGTGCGTGTGTGCCCAAGATCCCGAGAGGAGAATGGAGGAAAAGGGATTGTGGCATGGCCAACCCCCTGGGGGTGATTTCTTGCTTTCTGTCTCTCCATCTCTCTCTCTCTGTCTGGCAAGCGCACGCGCCCTATAGTGAAAACCTCTCCAAAAAAAAAATTATTTATTTAATTTTATTTATTAATTCATTTATTTTAATTTGACCAGAGAGACAGAGAGAGAAAGTGAGAAAGCATAGGCATCAGGGGCTTATTTACCACAGTTTCATATCTTACACCCAGTTGTAGCACAATCATTTCATTCTGCCATGGTCCAAGACTGCTACTATAAAGGGATTTGGAAGGTATCAGCTTTGGAATATGTACCACACCTTTCTCATAAGTGGGGCAATAAAGAAATTAGAGAAGAAAGGCTTCTGGGAGATTAGAGTGGCATATCTTTTATCTCCAGGTGAAATGTGGGCATTTGTCCCAAGCCCACATAGAACTTTCTCAAGTCCAGAAATGCGTATCCTACTCCAAACTTTACATATAAAATTTATCTGCAACTGAAATAGAGAGTAGGCGTTCATTTCAGTATTTGCCGGAATGTCCCAAGATCGGCTTTATAATTTTTCTCTTTCTGAAATAAAAAGCAAGTGTATGAATTATGTGTTCAGTGGAGGCTCTGCTAACCTGTTCTCCCTGTGGTGCGGTCTAGCTGTCGACCTTCTCATTCCGTAGTTTATACATCTCTAGCTCTCTCTACATCTTGACTTTTCTGTTTTCTGTCCCCTCCTTATGTCGCAGTTAGAGCCTCTACAGTAGGTGCAGTGAAGTATTTCTAGAGGTAGCACAGGTACCAGTGCCCATAAGGCTGAGGAAGGGGGCTTTGGACCCAGAAAAGCCAGCAGCTAAACTCCACAGTTGAATAGCATCCTCCTCTGGAAAGTACCAGTTACATTTAAAATAGGCCAAAGAGTCTACAAATCTACTGTGTCACTGGGAATATCATGAAACTTTTTTTTTTTATTTTATTTATTGTCATAATCTTTTTTATATTACATTAAACCGCATATATCTTTACAATTTATTACATTTCTTTTTCCAGCACAATTACCATGCATATCAGCAAAAACAAAAGTATTACTATCCACATCATCATCGTCATCATCCAATAGCTTTTCATCATTTTTTTTCAGATTATTATTATTTATTCTCATTATTTTTTTAAACATTAAATCACTATATATCATTTTGCTTATATAAAGAATTTACCGCACATGAAATACTTCTCAGACCAGTCCAGTTGAGAATACTATACATGTTATCATCAACAGGTAATACACCATTTCTGTGTCCCACGAATGTATTATGACACATTTTTGCTTAGAAAAACACGTCATGACTTTTCCTATGACCTAATATTTAGAGTTCCACATTGACCATATTCTTTTTTTTTTTTTTAGAGAGATTTTTGCTATAGGGTGCATGTGCTCACCTGAGAGACAGAGACAGAAAGTGAGAAATCACCCCCAGGGCAGATGGCCATACCTTTTCCTCCATTCTCCTCTCAGGATTTTGGGTACACACACACTCATGGCTTGTGTGAATTTTAAGTTGCCAGGTCTGGGACTCAAACCCGGTTGACTATGTGGGAGTCCAGCGACATAACCATTACACCATCTTCTGGTCCCCCACGTTGACCATATTCTTAACAGTAGCCTGGGAAAAAGAATGTTGTTTACTATAGGCCATTTTTTCCCAAGGGAACAGTAACTAAGCTGAGTTGCTTATTTTCTGCATGTATTTAATGAGTTTCCACAGAGTGCTAAAAAGTAAGAAGACAGTAGACTTTGAAGTGTAGGATTAAAAATAGTACCGGTACAGAGTCTTAACAGAAAGGAAATATTAGAGCTGCTGTTTGGGTTCAGAACGAGTTAACATCCTGGCAGATTATTTGCCAGAGCCTCCTGGAAACTAGCCGATTAGTGTTCTCCCTCCGAGTTACAAGCAGCGGTTTCCCTTTCTCCCAGATTGTTGACTAGTTTACTTGGAAAGGCGAGTGGGTAGAGATAAGCTGAACAAATTGAGGAAACATTTTTTATACTTTTCACAAATAGGTTAACTAGATTTCGGAATGTCAGCTTCCCTCAAGTAATACTAAGTGCTCTTAATTTGTGATGTGTGGAAAGTACAATGATACTTTTAAGGTTTGTTTTTTTTTTATTATTTAATATCTGTTAAATTTATTTCCTTTTTGGGAAATCAGTTCAATTCCTACTTATGTTCTTCCTCAGCCTATGTCTTATAAAGAGTCTTCTTGGCAGGCCGCGTGGTGGCACAGTGAGCGGTAACACCGTACTCCGCAGTGCCAGAGCCACGTGGGAAGGTCCCAAGCCTGTGTCTCGGGGCCTCCCTGTACACGCTGGTCTTGCGTGCATGTGTCTGTGATCCACACTGTCTGAGGCTGGGAGTTAGTCCTTGTGAGGACCTGTTGGGAGTGTCCTTCCATAAAATAAATTATTAAAACTTTGAAAACAGACCACCCAGCCCCAGAAAAAATGTTACAGTCTTTTGTTTCCCACGTCTATGACTCCTCTTGAAAACATACAGCCTAGTCTTCTAAAGGATGGCCCCTACACCCAAAGTAAAATCCCTCCCTCTGTTCCTTCCCTTTTTTTAAAAAAAAATTTTACATCTGTGATAGGGCGTGTGTATTTGCCAGAGAGAAAGAGAGGAAGTGAGAAAACATCCCCAGAGGAGATGGCCATGCCACTGTCTCTTCTCCATTCTCTCAGGATTTTGGCTACATACACACACACTCCTAGCATGTTTTTCTTTTTTGTTTGTTTTTTGAGAGGTTTTTGCTATAGGGCGCGTGCACTCGCCAGCCAGACAGACAGAGACAGAGAGACAGAAAGCGAGAAATCACCCCCCAGGGGGGATGGCCACACCACAATCCCTTCTCCTCTCGGGATCTTGGGCACGTGCACACACACACGCCCGGCATGAGTTTAAGCCACCAGGTCCGGGACTTGAACCGCAGTCGACTATGTGGGAGTCCAGTGACATAGCCATTACACTAACTGCTGGTCCCTCCTAGCATGTTTTTCAACCCCTGGGTCAGGGACTCAAACCATTCAGTTGGCCCTTTGGGATCCAGCTGCCTTCACCACCACACCACCGGCTGGCCCCCTGTCTGCTTTCAAGGGCAAGGTAAAAAGCCATACACCTTTGTAGGATGAATCCAGCCCAGACCGGTCCACTGGCTTCCTTTACTGCTGCTCTTCCTGCTTCTGTTCTGTTCCTTTACCTGACACTTCAGCTTCACAGAACCTCCCTGTTTCTGAGCGCAGTGTTTACACGTGACAGGATGTTTGCACATGCCTGTTCTTTCTTCTGCCTGGAACTCTTTCCTTCAGCACACTAAAAAACAGAGTTTTCTTTGACAAGGTACCAGAATATATCACTAGTTAAGTCGTCTTAGGAAGATTTAGGAATCCTAAGAAATAGTTGTTCTTTGCTCTGGATTCTCATCATTCTTCTTGATTCTTTCTTTGTTTCATTTTTATAATGTTGCTAGAGGATGTGTGTGCTTGCTGGAGAGAGGGAAGGGGAGGTCAGTGAGAAAGCAGCTCCCATGGGGGATGGCTGTGCTTCAGCCCCGTCTTCATTTATCCTCTTGGGATTTGGGGTATACATGCATACTCACCTGGCATGTTTTTCAAGCCGCCGGGTCTGGAGCTTTAACTGCAGTCAGCCATATGGGATCCAGCCACCTTCTGGACACCACCAGCTGGTCCTCGTGACTCTTTTATATCGGATATATTTATTTGTATTTCTCCCTACTGTGGCCTCTCAAGGGCAAAGAGGGAGCTATATTCATCTTTTTACCGCCAGTGCAGTGCTTAGTACAAGATGATGGACTGATAACAAGTAGGTAGATACATGGGCAGGTGGATAGATGGATGGAAGGAAGGACATCCCTGAGCTAAGAGCCGAACACACCTCACGAATGTTTGCCGTAGTTAGGAGCTAGGCCAGCAGAGGGAATTGGGGGCTTGAGTTTTCATGCTCTCTAGGGAGAGTAACCATTTAATTTAGCATCCAACCTGAGACATTTTTGAGAATGCGGGGAATAGGAGAAATTGCTATGAACGATTATGCCAGGACTATAGGTGTCAACAAAGAAGATCTCAGACAAACTAGAACAGACGGTTACCCTGCCAGTTTACTAGGGAAAACAGGAGTCTGGCCAGGAGGACAGGTTTTACCTGGGTGAAAAGTCATCTGTGTTGTACACACGTCTGGGCGCATGTGACTCCAACCAGTAGGTGTCTCTGTTTTTGTGGCTTAGGTGCCACATAGGTAGGTCATGGGGCTGTTAATACCAACTTTCATCTGGGTTGTAATGTGCAGTTTTGTCATGGAAACAATGGTAGGCTCTTGTCTCAGAAGTTGCTTAGTGTCCTTTGTAAAACCTAACATACCTTCCCAATGTTTCTCTCTTCTAAGACCAAACTACCATCTGATGTTACCTTCCTCTTTATGTGAAGTCCAGTGTCTTGGACCTAGTATATACTACATAAATTTTCTTTTTTAAAAGTTGTTTTATTTAACTTTACTTATCATTGTTATTTATTTATTCACTCATTCATTCATTCATTTATATATTTTAATTTGAGCACAGAGAGACACAGAAAGAGAGAGAGGGAAAGTGAGAAAGCAAGCTGCCAGGTTCTGGAACTCGAACCACAGCCAGCCATGTGGGAGTCCAGCACCCCAAACACTACGCCATCTGCTGGCCCCCACATAAATATTTTTAATGATCTACTTACTGGCAAATGAAAGAGCCTCCTGTTTCCTGCCTCTAAGCCTTTCTTCTGCTCTCCATCCCTCCTCCCAGTCCTTTTAAATCTCCCCTTCCTTCTTATTTATTATTTTATTCACAGTAGAATGCATACACTTCAGGGAGAGAGATGAGTACCCTCTGCACGGTCTGCTCGTGATCCTTTTCCTCTAGTCTTCTAGCCCATGGTTATCCTGGGCACTTAAGCGTGTGCTGGGACCCGACTGGGGTTCACACTGTGGTCACCATGTGGGATCCGGCTTCTCTTGAGCAGCGCATCACCCCTGTACCTCAGATCCAGCCCTCCCCTCTCTTTTCGAAGTGCAGGCTAGCCTGGCTGACTGTGGTCTCTTCGAGCTTCTGGCCTTGTGCGCACATGCCTTCTTTTGGCAATTGTAGTGCCTTGCCTTGTGATATTTGCTATTGTCTTGTTTAACTTTCCTTGTATTTTTGGCTTATTTTCTCAGTGATGCAAGCAGCCAGAAAGAATCTAAATGTGGGTGTTGCTCATTTAACTTCAGTAAGCCATTCCTAAAAGCAGACATTCTGCACAAAATGTCCAAGAGCCTATTTCCCTATTGTTTTATTTTTAAAAAGAATTATTTATTTAACTGTATTTTTTTTAAAGAATGATTTATTGGTCCTGCATGGTGTGGTGGTTAAGGGCACTGGAGTGCCACATGGCTGACCACATTTCCATCTCTCTGTCTCTCTGGCTAGTGCACGCTCCCTACAACAAAAATATTTCTTTGTTAAAAAAAAAAAAAAAAAATCTCTTTTGCAATGACTTTCCTGCCCCTACCCACCACGAAATTCAGTGAAATTAATAGTGCATCTGGCTGTGGGACTTTATTCCAGCAGGAGATCTCAGAGCTATCTGTTTAAAAGGCTATACCTACCTGTACCTTAAACCAAGTGAAGAGACTGAGCCATAACAGAAAAACTGGGCGTGCTGAATATGTACCTAATGTTCTTCCTATTGCCTTTTTTTTTCCTTTTCTTCTTCTTTTTTTTTTTTTCTCGTGTGTGTGTGTGCAGACTTTAGTGCCAAAAGAAAAAAGAAAGTGGCAGAGATAAACCAGGCACTGAACAGTGATCCCACTGACGTGGCTGCACTTAGACGCATGGCTATCAGTGAAGGAGGGCTCCTGACAGACGAGATCAGACGGAAAGTGTGGCCCAAGCTCCTTAATGTTAACACCAGTGACCCACCACCTCTATCAGGTAATGGGGCAGGGGTGGGGGCTGAACCTGTGAGGGGAACTTGTCTAAGAAGCAGGGAGAAGAGAATCTTAGGATCTCTGATTTTTATGCTCATTTCAAGCCAACAGTAGATGAGTAAATCTAACACATTTTAGGAAATTCTTGGACCTACTCTGAAAATAAAACCAAACTGATAAGTAGAATTTATTTATTGGGTCATTGGGAAAGTCATGACATATTTTTCTGTTTTTCTACACAAAAATGCATCATGACTTTTCTGACAACCCAATAGAAGTGGGATGGACTTTGGGCCAGCTGGTAGTACAGTCGTAATGCAACTGGATCCCCATGGAAAAGGTACTGGGTTCACATCCTGAGGTCTCCGTGAGCGTGGTGTGCGGATACGCATGTGCCGTGACCTGGGTCAGCTGAGACTGGAAGTGGATCATGGTGTGAAGAGCCTGTTGGCTGTGTCTTACTTTCTTTTTCATGGAAGAATAAATAAACTTTTTAAAAAGCAATTATTTAATTTTATTTATTTATTTTTTTTAAATTTGGTATAGGGCACATGTACTCACCAGAGAGAGACAGGGAGGCAGAGAGAGGGAAAGTAAGAAGCAAGCTGCCAGGTCCAGGACTCCAACTATGGTTGGCCATGTGGGAGGCCAGTGCCTTAACCACCTATGCCACTTGCTGGTCCTGTAAATAAACTTTTTTTTAAAGAATTATTTTATTTAACTTTATTTATTATTATTATCATTATTGTTTTCTAGTTTAATCAGAGAGAGACAGAGAGAGAGAGGGGAAGTGAGAGAGCAAGCCACCGGGTCCAGGACTTGAACCGTGGTTGGCCTTGTGGGAGTCTAGCACCTTTAACCCCCATGCCACCTGCCTGCCCCATAAATAAACTTTTTTACAAAAATGGAATGAAGGCTGTTTACATGGTCTGGGGTTAAGGAAGCCAGATCTGACATGACCAGCTACAGCTCAGATCCCAGCCTTGATGTAAAGAACATGCTAAATGCATGTGTGTATGTGCCCCAAATCTGGACGGGATGGAGAACTACAAACTCCTAACTAATCTCATAAAAAAGTAGCATAAACACAATCAAGACAGTCTGTCATATAAGGCTGTGAGATGCTTAAAATATTACTTCCTGGGACCAGCAGATGGCAAAATGGTTATATTGCTGGACTCCCGCATAGTTGACCGTGGTTTGAGTCCTAGTCCCAGAGGCTTAAAAACTCCTGCCAGGCGCATGTGCATGAGTGCCCAAAATCCCGAGAGGAGAATGGAGAAGGGATAGTGGCATGGCCATCATCCCTGGGGAGTAGTGAGTTGCTTTATTGTTCATTCATTTTATTGCTTTCCTGATACTATGGCAAAGTGCCACATAAAATACACGCATATATGTGTATATATGCCTACGTGTTTGTTGGGAAAGTTAGACATTATTTTCTGTTTTTCTATACAAAAGTGTGTCGTAACTTTTCCGACAATCTAATATTTATTTATATAAATTGCCAGAGGGCCAGAAAGAGACAGAAAAAGAGGGAATACCCCCACACACACCCATGGGAAATGGTCAAGTGCAGTCCCATCTATCTTTTCCCCCTTTTTTGAGATTTTGAGGAAACACACACAGCTCCAGCTGTCGTAACCACCAGACCATGGACTGGCCCAGAATTTATATTTTAACGAGTGCCTCAGCTCATTCTGGGTGATGACTTAAATTTCAGGGACGATGGGAAAGGATAATACCTCTATAGTCCTTCAAAACATGAAACATAACTCCTTTCTATTGGGAAATAGTTAGATCCTTTGGAATTCTAAAATTTTGTATTTCTATGAAAAGCTATTAATGAATTTGCCAGACCTGTGTAGTAACAGGAGTTCCTTGGAATGCAGTTAAAAATGGAAAAGAAGGCGCCATGGAGCAGCGAGTCACTTTGTTGTTCATTCATTTTATTGCTTTTCTGATACTGAGGCAATGTGCCAGGCACTGGGTATTCTTTTATTCATTTAGCAAATGTGAATCATGCCCCTATTGTGTGCCAGGTTCTGGAGACGATTAAAACAGGACCTCTGTCACTGGAAAGTTCACAGCGTCAGGCTGGCCCCATTCCCTAGTGACTAAAGCAGCTGGATCCCACGTGGCCAACTGTGTGCTCCAAATCCCAGCTCCAGTAACTTGAAAAACACACTGGCGTGTTTGCAGGCATTTCCCAAGTCATGACAGGGTGGAGGAAGGGAGGAGAACTTGCCTTCTGATTACCTCTCACTGGGGAATGCTTCCTCTCCTCTCTTTCTCCACCGCAAGGACATGCACCCTCTAGCAAGACTAGGAAAAAAGGACTGCAAAGTTCACAGAATAGTGTCATGGTGAGCTGCCAAGTCTGTGTTGAGTCGTGACTTCTTATCCTCAGAATGGCTGCCTCAGAGCAGTCAGCTTTTTGTTGGAAGGCAGAGGTATTGCCATATTCACACTCTCAATCCAGAGCTGATATTCTTCTATCAGGTTCCAAACTCCGCATGTCTTCTTAAAAGCTAAAGCCTGTGTGTGAGGAAGTGTTGCACAAGCTGCCCTGATAGCTTTTGATTTGGGTTGTAAAGCAAACGTATGTTTACTATTGGGTTGTTGGAAAAGTTATGATGTGTTTTTTCCTATGTTTTTCCATACAAGCATGTTCATGACTTTTCCAACAACCCAATATATAGCACTTGGTTTGGGCTAAGGGAGACATACACTTGTTATGTGTATGTATAGACCCTGCCTTCTCACTTTCATGCTATATTGAGCTTACAGCCGAAAATAACTGCAGTCTTCTGTTTGCAGTGTTTTAGTTTAAGAATGTCAGGGTTAGGACCAGCAGATGGTGTAATGGTTACGTCGCTGGATTCCCACATGATTGACCGTGGTTCAAGTCCTGGACCTGGCCATTTGAAACTCACACCAGGCGCGTATGCATGCATGCCCAAAATCCCAAGAAAAGAATGGAACAGAAAGGATTGCAGCATGGCCATCACCTCTGGGGGTTGATTTCTTGCTTTCTGTCTCTGTCTCTCCAGCAAGCATACACATCCTATAGCAAAAATTTCTATCTTAAAAAAAAAAATTGGGGACCAGCAGTTAGCATAATGGCTATGTCGCTGAACTCCCATGTAGTCAACTGCGGTTCAAGTCCTGGACCCGGTGGTTTAATCTCACGCTGGGCACATGTGTGTGCATGCCCAAGATCCCAAGAGGAGAATGGAAGAGAAGGGATGGTGGTGCAGCCATCCCCCCGGGAGGTGATTTCTCGCTTTCAGTCTCTCTGTCTCTCTTTGTCTTTCTGGCGAGTGCTTGCACCCTATAGCAAAAACCTCTCAAAAAAAAAAAAAAAAAACTCACGGATAAAAAAAAAAAAAAAAAAAATGTCAGGATAAGGGCCAGCCAGTGGTGTGGTGGTTGATCCCACATGACTTACTGTGTAGTTGAAGTCCCAGATCCAGTGGCTTGAAAAATATACCAGGTGCATGTGCATGCATGCTCAAAATCCTGAAAGGAGAAATGGAGAAGATATTACAGCCTGGCCATCCCCCATGGGGGTGCTTTCTCACTTTTCTTCTCTCTCTTGCTGTCTTGTTTCTCTCTAGCAAACACATGAGACGAACCCTCTGGCCATTAAAAACAAAATAAAACAAACCAAAAAAGAATGTCAGGGCCAAGAGGTATTAGATTCTTCTTTACATGAGTTACCTTTATTCTTTCTGATCAACTCAGTGCCCCAACAGCTTTATAGATGGTAGGATTTTTTCAGTGGCCAGTGGTTTCCACATTCATAATTTCATTTGACTCTTACAGTACTCTGAGAGGTACATATGGAAGAGAATAGCCTTGTTTTACAGATGTGTATGTTGAAGTTCAGAGCAATTGCCCAACAATGCCCCATGGCAGCCTGACTTCTCTGCGGCTCTCTCCACCCCCTGAGTTGCCTCCTGGACAATTGGTATACCCGTTTAAGGTCATCATGACTTGAAGAAACAGCATATGTTTGTAGCTGAACTAGGAATTCTCTTCCAGATGTTGTATCTTGAGTCTTGTCCTCTTTAGAAAAAAGCCAGTAGTGTATCCCAGGCCTTATGTGTCAGTCCAGGAATGTTTTGCTCCTGATCTGGCTTCCCAACATGCCCACAATAACATGCTCCTTTCCCTCCACTAGGGAAGAACCTACGGCAGACGAGCAAGGACTACCAACAAGTGCTCCTGGACGTCAGGCGGTCTCTGCGGCGCTTTCCTCCTGGTGAGCTCTCCCGGCCTAGCCACGTCTAGCATGAGAATTCCTGTCCCAGCTGCACTCACTGTCTTGCACACAGTAGGACCAAGTGCAGGAGCTGCCTCCATAGGGACCTTAGCACTGTCAGTGTGTAGTCACTCCTTTGTTGACTCAGTCACTTTCAGACCCCATTGTGAGAGCCAGAACCCAAAGCAATTTCTCTTGGCCTCGAGATGATGAATGAGAGATGAGGTTTTTTTGGCTTTTGGTTTTTCCTCAAGTCACAGGACTTCATAGAGATTGTTTGAGCCATCAGTCTGGCTTTAGAGAGCAGATTGGTTTGAGTCTGGGTGCTAACAAGAACTGTTACTGTCTTCATTTAATTGGATTTATAAGGAGTGATATCTTGCATGTACATATATTGGATCTCTTGACTGGAAGGGAGGCCATTCCCTGTACATTTAAAGAGTCTGTCCCAGGGCAAGTGGGGTGGTGGTTGAGGGCACTGGACTCCCTCATGGCCGACTGAGGTTCGAGTCCTGAACCTGGAGGCCTCTGTCTCCTCTCTCTCTGTCTCTCTCTGGTCAAATTGAAAAAGATTGATAATAAATAATTCTTAAAAAAAAAAAGATTTATAAAAAAAAATTCTTAAAAAAAAAAAAAGTCTGTCCCTAAAATTGCCTCCCTATTCCCAGGGGGGAAAAGAAGAATGACTGTTGTCTTCATTTTCAGAAATAAAGGAAACGGGACAACAAATCTCATACTTTCGGCCTATTTCTCATCCTCTGACTACTCTACCTTTCAGTCCATGAAGGGAAGAACACTGCTAAAGGAATGGAAGCCCCTTCACTTATTACTTCCAAAACCACTCGGCTTGGGTTTTGTCTGTCAGGAAGCTTCCCTTCCTGCCTGCACCTTTGCACCTGAAGAGACCCTGTGATTCCCATGAAGCCAGTAGCCCATCTGCTTACTTCTGACAAAAGCCCACATATGCGCAGGCTCCAGTCCCCTTCCCTTATTCTGCTGGTTTGGATGAGACCTCACAGATAGAGGCCCCCCATTTTCTTCCCAGTTCCAAACATGAGCTGTTTCCTGCAAGTCACTATGGCTGTAAGTGGGAACACTGATTGTCTAGGGGCAATACAGGGGCTGGAGAGAGGAGCAGAGAAGTCAGGAGGCCCAGGACTTAACGCCTTTCTAACCCTTTATTCGTCTTCCATCAGCCTGTGCAATCCTTTTTTTTTTTTGAGAGGTTTTTGCTATAAGGGCACGTGTGCTCGCCAAAGAGATAGAAAGCGAGAAATCCCCTCCCAGGGGGGATGGCCATGCCACAATCCTTTCTCCTCTATCTCCTCTCAGGATCTTGGACACACACACGCGCCTGCCATGAGTTTTAAGTCACTAGGTCCAAGACTCGAACCACAATCTACTACATGGGAGTCCAGCAACATAATTATTACGCCATCTGCTGGTCCCATCTGTAGGAACATGTGACTTTAAGTTATTTTTATATAATTGCATGCTTACCAAAAAGTTGCAAAAATAGGACAAAGAGAGCTGCCTCGTGATTGGGGAAGCCAAGTCCCGTATGGCCAACTACATGGTTTGAACCTGGCTCTGGTGATTTAAAAAACTGGGCACATGTGTGTGTGCCCAGATCCTGATGAGTTGGAGAGATGGAGGAGAAGGGATCGCCAGGCACCCATGCCCCAGTGGAGAGTACTTTCTCCCTCTCCCTCTCGCTCTTCTCTCTATGTGTCTCTCTTTGGCAAGCGCACACACTCTTGGGCAATTAAAAAAACAAAATAGGGGGACCAGCAGTTAGCGTAATGGCTATGTCACTGAACTCCCATGTAGTCGACCACAGTTCGAGTCCCAGTCCCGGACCCGGTGGCTTAATCTCACACCAGGCATGTGTGCGTGCATGCCCAAGATCCCAAGAGGAGAATGGAGGAGAAGGAATTGTGGCGTGGCCATCCCCCTTGGGGGATGATTTCTCACTTTCAGTCTCTCTATCTCTCTCTTTCTGGTGGACGCACCCTGTAGCAAAAACCTCTCCAAACAAAACAAAACAAAAACAAAATAGGCCAAAGAGTTCCCCAGATACCTTTTACTCAGGTTTCCTTATTTGTTAATATTTTACTACATTTATCTTATTCTCCTCTTTATCTCTTTTTTCTCCATATATAAAACACACATACACTTTTTTTTTAAGAGAGATTTTTGCTATAGGGTATGTGTGCTTGCTGAAGAGACAGAGAGAGAGAGATGGAGAGAAAGAGGAAATCACCCCCTGGGGTGATGGCCATACCACAATCCCTTCTCCATTCTCCTCACAGTACTTTGGGCACACATGCACACATGCCTGGTGTGGGTTTCAAGCTGCCAGGTCTGGGACTCAAACCGTGGTCGACCATCTGGGAGTCTAGTGTTTTAACCACTACGCCACCTACTGGCTCTCACAATTTTTTTTTTCTTAATCGCCTAAATGCTCACTGGAGAGAGAGAGAGAGAGAGAGAAAGGGAAAAAGCATCCCCCAATGAGGCCTAGTCACACCACAAGCCCTCTCCTCCATCGCTCCATCCTGTTGGGATTTGGGACATACAGGCACTCAGAACTGGTGTGGTTTTTGAGCGTCTGGGGCTGGAACTCAAACCCTGGTTGACATGTGGGATTAGTTTCCTCTGTGAAGTACCTAATTGATATGGCCAGCCCAAATACGGTACTTCTTTACTCCTAAATATTTTAAGATGTTATTTCCTAAAAACATAATTTCAGTATACTTTTCAAAATCATCAATATCAGAAAATATTGTTATCTAAGTCACAGATTATATTCAGATATCACCATTTATCCTAGTAGTAGCTTTTAAAGGAAAAGGAAATAATAAGTCCAGGAATGTGATCATCATATCTCTTTAATGTCTCATTATCTTTTATTATATCTCCTTAACCATTCCTTTAATCTGGAACAATCCCTTTGTGTTTTATGGCAGGCCAGTTATTTTGTTAAATTTCCCTTTCTTTGGGTTTGTCTGGTATTTCCTCATTATGACTCTTTTTTTTTTTTTTTTATTGCCAGAGGACACATGTGCTTGCCAGAGAAAGGGAGATCGCAACCCCTATGAAGTGTAGTCACACTGCAACAATCCTTTTTCCTCCATTTTTCCTTCCTATTAGGATTTTGGGCATGCACACACATGTGCCCAGAATGTTTCTCATGTCTCCAACATCAGGACCCAAAGTACAGTCAGCCACGTGGGATCCAGCTCCCAGTACACAGGGTTTAAGCACTGTGCTATGGGCTGGCCCAGGTATTTCCTCATTGTGGGGTTGAGCTTATGCACTGTTGATGGGAATTCTTCAGACACGATGCCAGCTCTTGTCAGCACTCCACATCAGCAGGCACTGTCCAGCAGTCCCATTCCCAGTGCTATTAACTGTGATGACTCGGTTAGGATGGTGTGTGACTCCATCTTGTGTGCCAGCTATATCAACAGTGTGTGGATCATGGGCCAGGAGATGGTACAGCGTACAGCTCCATGCTCTCCACGTGGAAAGGTTCCAGGTTCTCACTCAGGAGACCTCACTAAGTACCCAGGCACACAGGGCCCATGATCTGGGTCTAGCTAAGGCCAGGAGTCGATTGCAGCATTAAGACCATATTGGGAGTGCTATCTCTCTATCTCTGGCTCTCTCTCTCACTTAGGAAAGAAAAAATAAAAACAAAACAACACATGCATCTTAACATGTGTCGTCAAATTGTTGGCAGTTTATTTTCTTTTATTGCACACTTTCTCTGAAAATCCATCACTGGTTTCATCCTCACCTCGTTACGAGGGCTGCTTGCTGTGTTCACATGCATCTCCCCTTCTCTCCACTCCCCAGGCATGCCAGAAGAACAGAGAGAAGGGCTGCAGGAAGAACTCATCGACGTCATCCTCTTCGTCTTAGAGCGCAACCCTCAGCTGCACTACTACCAGGGCTACCATGACATTGTGGTCACATTC